TGGGATAGAACTCTAGAATTTGAGCCCTTGCACTTGGAAAATCGAGAGACTCCTCCAGCCAAGCCATCTATCGAAGAACCACCAAAGCTGGAGTTAAAGCCATTGCCCAACCATCTCAGGTATGAATTCCTTGGACCTAACTCCACATTACCTATTATTATCTCATCTAGTTTGTTAGATGTGTAGGCGCAACAACTCTTGCAGGTACTTAAGGAGTGCAAGACTGCCATTGGGTGGACCATGACAGATATAAAGGGGATCAGCCCCGCCTACTATATGCACAAAATTCTACTGGAAGAGGGACACAAACCTTCCAAGGAACACCAAAGAAGGCTGAACCCTAACATGAAGGAAGTGGTGAAGAAGGAGTAATAAAGTGGTTAGGCGCGAGAATTATCTTCCCAATCTCTGACAGCAGTTGGGTTAGCCCAGTTCAATATGTACCTAAAAAGGGTGGCATGACGGTAGTTAAGAATGATAACAATGAACTGATCTCTACAAGAACAGTCACAGGCTGGAGAATTTGCATGGATTATAGAAAGCTAAATCTAGCCACCCGGAAAGACCACTTCCCACTTCCCTTCATTGATCAGATGTTAGACAGACTGGCAGGGAGGTCGCACTTCTGTTTTTTAGACGGGTACTCAGGATACAACCATATTTATATTGCACCGGAGGACAGAGAGAAGACCTCTTTCACTTGTCCTTATGGAATTTATGCCTTTCGGAGGATGCCCTTTAGCCTATGCAACGCACCCGCCACATTCCAACGGTGCATGATGGCCATATTCACTGACATGATAGAGGACATAATGGAGGTGTTCATGGATGACTTCTCAGTGGTGGGGAATTCATTTGATGAGTGCCTGATAAATCTGATGCGTGTGCTGAAACAGTGTATCGAGACTAACCTGGTTCTGAACTGGGAGAAGTTCCACTTCATGGTACAAGAAGGCATATTCTTGGGGCACCGGGTGTCAAGCAAAGGAATTGAGGTGGTTCGTGCTAAAGTGGATGTAATAGCAAAGCTACCTCCTCCAACTTCAGTCAAAGCAATCAGAAGCTTCCTTGGGCATGCCGGTTTCTACCGGAGATTCATAAAAGACTTCTCAAAAATTGCCAACCCTCTCTGTAAGTTGTTAGAAAAAGATCACCCTTTCTTGTTTTCTGATGATTGCAGGGTAGCATTCGAGGAGCTGAAAAAGAGACTGGTCACAACACCTATCATTGTTGCCCCCAACTGGGAGCAGCCATTCGAACTCATGTGTGATGCCAGTGACTACGCAGTGGGGGCAGTGCTGGGACAGCGGAAGGACAAGCTGATGCATCCAATCTACTATGCTAGTAGAACGCTGAGTGGAGCCTAGCTGAACTATACTGTGACTGAGAAGGAGATGTTGGCTGTGGTGTTTGCTTTCGAAAAGTTCAGATCATATCTGATTGGTTCTAAGGTAATTGTATACACTGATCATGCAGCTCTCAGGTACTTGATTGAGAAGAAGGAGTCTAAGCCGCGCCTGATTCGTTGGATGTTATTGCTGCAAGAATTCGACCTTGAAATTCGTGACCGTAAGGGCACAGAGAACCAAGTCACTGATCATCTATCACGACTTGAGGGAGCTGAAAATGCAGCTGAGGTTGAAGATATTCTGGAAACCTTTACAGACGAGCAGCTGCTCGCTACTAATCTTGAGAAAGCGCCATGGTATGCAGATTTTGCAAATTACCCGGCCTGCGGTATAGTTCCCTATGACCTTTCATCTGTATAAAAGAAAAAGTTTTATCGTGACTGCCGCATGTATTATTGGGATGAGCCTTACCTGTTTAGAATTTGTGGTGACAATATGATCCGGAGGTGTGTCCCCAAGATAGAACAATCTTCTGTTTTGCAGGCTTGTTACGCATCGGCTTATGGAGGACATTTTAGAGGGGTCAGGACAGTTGCGAAAGTGCTTGAGGCCGGATTCTTTTGGCCAACAATGTTTAAAGATGTGCACCAATGGGTGAAGGGCTGCAATGAATGTCAGCGGACTGGGAACATTTCCCGTCGCCATGAGATGCCCATGAACCCAATTCAAGAGGTGGAAGTGTTTGATGTCTGGGGGATTGACTTCATGGGTCCCTTAGTCAACTCCTATGGTAATAAGTACATACTTGTTGCTGTGGATTACGTGTCCAAATGGGTAGAAGCTGCAGCGTTGCCCACTAATGATGCAAGAGTGGTGGTGGGGTTTTTTGAAGAAGAACATATTCACCAGATTTGGGACACCAAGAGCGATTATCAGTGATGGAGGCACTAACTTCTATAATAGAGCTTTCGAGAAGTTACTTGCAAAGTATGATGTACGCCACAAGGTGGCTACCCCTTATCACCCGCAAACTATTGGGCAGGTTGAAGTGTCCAACAGAGAGATAAAGAGTGTGCTAACCAAGACTATGAACGCCACAAGAACTGATTGGGCAAAAAAGTTAGATGATGCACTCTGGGCTTATAGAACTGCTTTTAAAACACCGATTGGTATGTCACTATATAAGTTGGTGTTCGGGAAGGCCTGCCATTTGCCAGTGGAACTTGAACATAGAGCGTGGCGGGCACTAAAACAGCTGAATCTAGACATCGAGGCTGCGGGCACAACGAGGATCACAGAATTGCATGATCTCGACGAGTTCAGACATCTTGCTTTTGAGAGCACAAGGTTGTACAAGGAAAGAATGAAGAGGTTGCACGACAAGAACATTGTGGAGCAAAATTTCAATCCTGGAGATATGGTGTTTCTTTATAACTCACGATTAAGGCTATTTCCGGGTAAACTCAGGTCACGATGGTATGGACCATTTAGAGTGGTCAAGGTTTTCCCTTCAGGTGCTGTCGAGATTGCCACAGAGAAAGAATCTCGTACATTTAGAGTCAATGGGCAGAGATTGAAACTATATGTGGGCATGAGCGAACCAAAGGAAGTGTCTGAGCTACACCTGACTGAACCATAGAGGTCGAGCGAGCCTTAAATACGCTCATCTGCGTCGTGCCGCGACGTTAAATCTGGCGCTGCATGGGAGGCAACCCACGAATGTGTTGTAAGTGTAATGCATAAAAAAAAGTAGTAGCAGGAACATGCCCAAACCGCGGTCCCAGCGTAACCGCGGTCAAGGACCTTCTTTGAAATAAGTCTACCACGGTCCCAGCATAATCGTGGTAGGACCGCGATCAAATACCCCCTCTGAAAAGGGTCTACCGCGGTCCCAACGTAACCGCGGTAGGACCGCGACAGACCAGCGTGGGCCAGGTAAGTGCAGAATTGTTTTTTTTTCTTTTTCTTTTTCCTTTTCCCCCCCTCTTTTTAATAAACCTAACCCCCCACTATTCCCCCATCTCCTTCTATCTTCTCTTCTCTCTTTCACACTCTCTTACCCCCCAAACCCCCATTATTGCCCCTCCTTTCTTCTCCATCTCTCTCTCTCCACCACCTATCCCTTCCATTTATCCTCAAGGTAAGTTTCTCTATTCTTTTCTCTTTCTTTTACATAACTTAGTGTAGTGTTTTAGTGTAAATATTTTATTATTTTTTCTTTCTTTCTTTTCTTTCCTTTTCTCCATTATTTGCTTCTTTTGGCCATGATTGATGTTTAAATGGTTGGGTTTTCATTGTGCTTAACTTGGGGGTGATTTTTAGAAGGTTTGGAGGCCTAAACAAATTTTTTAGGGTGACGCTTGGTGGAGGGGTCTGAATGGCCGAAAATTGGGGGTGTGTTGTAAAAGTTTTGAGCACTTTGTGCCCTTCTTAGTTTGTGGTGGTGGTAGAATTTGACATGATTCACTTGTGGGAGATTGTGTGGGGTATTATATGGCGGAATTGTAGAATTAA